AATAAAAATGTGTTGGTGTGGCGCTTGTGAACTATAATATACCTCCTCCCCCCTGATATGAGCTATCAAAAATAGTCAAGTAAATAATTTTCATGTCTCCATATATACCTAATCAAAATACATATATAAAATAAAGAAAATAATAAACTTCTAAGTGTACAATGCACCTCCCTCCCAACATGTACTGTTTCAATGCAATGTTACAATGAAACAGTACAACCTACTCTACTTCCATTTAGTGCATAAAAAACACAAATAAAAATCTCTGTGCAATATTACTAACATAAAAAAGGTAGATTCACAAATATAAAAAGTCCCTGTGTTATTCCGCAATACAAAGTGCCTCAAAACAGTGTTACAATTAGTGCCATCCTCCACACCCTTAATTAGTGATCACATATGCTCCCATCTTGGACACCTCACTCACCAAAATTCCCTGACTCCTAATTTGGTAAGCTGGTCTTATTTCACTCACGGATTCTCTCTCCTCCAACCTAGTCCTTTCCTCTCCACTTTCTTCTTCTCCTCAGGGTCAGCCATAGAAAAGAAACCAAGAGGCAGCCTCCAACAGTGTATTGCAATTTTCTTAAAACTTTCAAAAATATTAAAAATCCACTTACAATACGATGAGGCTTGTATCTTACAAGCTAGAAAGCACTAACTGATATTCTGGGATGCTCCTGAGTTCCAAGGACTGATAATGACAAAAGTAGAAGTGACGTAAGAAGCCCCTCCCAAGGACCCCTGATGACTTCAAGATGGCAAAATGATTTTGGAGGGGCTTCCTATGACATTTCCGCTTTTGTAATTTCCCATCCGTTAAATGAAGGAGTGAGTGAATTTTTAATGTTTTTCAAAGTTTTAATAAAGCAGTAATACACTATTGGAAGCTGTCTCCTGGCTGGCCCTAAGAAGGAGATGAAAGTATAAGAACCTGGAGAGGAGAATCCAGGGTTGGGAGGAGAGCAAAAAGACCCGCTTACCAAAATATGGGGTTATGGAATTTTGAATTTTGGGTTGTGTACCTGTAAAAACATGATAGTTTTCTGGGCAAAAACTATTACTTTTAATTTGCTTACTACAAGTATATATTTGCATGATTGTGTGATCAACACAATGCAAAGTATAATTATTTTGTATCAGGTTGGGGCATCAGGAATAAAGACACAAATGAACACTGTAGTTTTATTGTATGTGATGTTGTGATGGGTTGGTTAGTTGGGCCCCAACACCTAACTTTCTCCCCTGGGCTCAGTGTGCCAGTTTAAACTTAATTCTATCCTCCATCACTCTTTCTAAATCTAAACAAAGGTTTTGCCTATAGTTAGACTTTAAGTAACTTGGGGGCATGCAGATCATTTGGTAACCAAAACCTTGTTAAGGCCAAGAGTTCTTTAGTATAGCAGATATATAATTTTATTGCAAGAGACTTTGGAATCCAGATTGCCTTTACTTCATATTCCAATTCTTTGTCCATGGACCATGTTTGGAGAAATGAAAAATTGATTTAAAGTAACCTCTTCAATGGAGAGAGTCATTTAAACTTTCAAAATTAAACTCCCTGTCTAAGAGCAGCCACTACAGGATGCCTGCAATTATTATATGTTATCCCACTTTCTTTGTGCCTATATAAAACTTTTTTTAACTGTGTTACTAGCTTCTGGCATTCCTGCCTTTGGGGTTAAACTCTGGCAATGATCAACCATTTGTCTGTAGCACCTTTCTAGGTAGCTAGGGGAATCTCTAGTTTCAGTTGTTAGTTAGAGGCTGAGCAGCAGTCTGGTGCAATAGTCAGCGGGATTAAATTTCGGTCAGAACTGAGAGGTTCTGCAGATCAGCTCTCTGGGACTTTTCTCTATGCTAGAACTTTGAAAAAGGTTCTAGAAGCAGTGGGCCAAGGTAAGGAGTGGCTGATCTGCACTTTTGAGGGATCCTGGCCAATCCCCAACAGGAGGCTTGGCATAGGACCAGGACAGCTCTTAAAAGTGACAGAGCCTGCTTAGCTGCAGGAGAGTTTGAGCGGAAGATGGAGTGGAAGTGAGGCTGAAGAGTAAGAGCCTGGGAGGGGGCCCATATGGAGAGGTGCTCACCTACAGGCAGAGGACCTTGGAGGGAGGAAAGCTCAGGACATAACCAGCCCCCAGAGCAAGGACCACCTGTGCAACAGTGAAGGAGTGGCCCAGCTAGAAGGCCTGATAGCAGCCACCAACCCACCAGCAGCACAGGAGAAGGACTGAGTGAGTAGACCTGCACCACCTGGGCCAGTATGGGAAACAGGCACTCCAGTGGGTAACTGGATTAGCTATCTTACCTGGGACTGTTCCACACTGCAGTGCCAGGCACTGGATCCCTTGCCCAGGGATTCACCCAGTACAGCTGAATGAGGAGAGGAGTCATCTGGGGTCTGAGGTAGTACAACAGGAGATGCTGGCTAGCTCTCCAGAAGAGACATTTTTGCTGTAAAGACTTGTACATAGTTGCTAAGGAGTTTGTCCTCTATTGCCATTACCCTTGGGCATCCCATACACCCCTTATCCCATTCAAGTTCAATCCCCTAATAAAATTTCAAAACAAGCTCAAGGACTGGTTACTGTCTCCTGGTTGCAAGTGCGAGTGAAGTAAATGTGTGTTGCCTGGCTGTGCAAGACTATAGAGGGTCCCAAACTCCTAAGGGGGGTAGTGCTACATGTCCAATTACAGAGCATCAGTAGATAGACAGGGTACTCTCTTGCTTGACAGGATAACTTCAGGAATAGGGCTTATGGGGGAAATCTTGATTTTTGTAAGCATACGGATTTATTTTAAACTAGGAAAATGTACAGGCCTATGTAATGTGTGACTTAATGAACAGTAAGGGAACTGTATTCGGACACTAAAAAAAAAATTCAATGCATCCTATTTTTTTCCTTTGTCAGCCCATTTCTTACACCTAGCTGATAATTTCCAAATGGCCTTCTTTATATTCTCCCAGACTCCTTGTAGGTCTGTCCTCATACAATGTAATTCCCAAGGGGATGTCCAGTTACCTTGTAAGGTAAAGATATATAATCTTCAAACAAAACTGCAGGAAAATCACAGCATTTAAATATTGAATTCAAAGGTGATAATATTACAAAATAAAGTTATAATTAACGTTTCTGTCTCCTTATTGTTATTTAATAAGTAAATCCTCTACTGAAAATGCTGAAAACAGTTCTGTATTCTGTATAACAGAAGTGATAGAGAGTATTGGGACATCACATCACTAGAGATTAGTATATCAATTTGTGTGATTTAGAACTTTCAGTGAATTTGCACTGTTTACTCCAAGTTGGGGTTCTACTGGAAGGATATAGAATATATGTTATCAAAATGTGAGCTCAGTTCACATTACAAAATTCATGAATGTAAAAAAAATGTTTAGCCCAAACACAATTATATAGTTTGTGGTGGAGACTAGACTTTTCATAGATTCCATGGCTACCAATGGAGGAACTATAGGATGCCAAACAATCTGTGATAGCCAGGCTTTTGAAGATCCCATGGTTACCAATAGTGAAACCACAGGATACCAACAATCTGGGAGCGTTTCCTGCTGGCATCTTCTACCCGACTTAATGGGTAGTGATTAAAAATGTTATGCAGGATTACATTATTAAAGTACTTTAGACCCTGTCTATCAGCAGGATTGTCTCCAAATCCTACTGAGGACTTCTGTATGTTCTATTCTGCCTGCTCCACTTTAAGCATTCTTACTGTGGCATCTACTATATTACAGTACCTGCTACTGCTAAGTTACAACAGTGATCCAATTTTCTGTAAGATATCAGTAACAGATGCAATTTGAATTACTGCCTAGAATTTTACCTTCAACTAAATTGACATATGATTTTCTACATTTACTCTGACTTCTTTACTGTATTGAAGAAGAATTCAATGTACTTCCATTTAATAAATTATTCTTATTGAATACACTGTGAAAAATATATCTATGTTTCTCCCAGTCTTACAAAAATATTGCAAATCAGGAAAAAAAAAGTATTTCTCTTCACACTAGGATTAGTCAGTTGCATTTATCAGATGCACTTTTTTCAACCACTCAATCATTTATTTCATTTTCTAGAAAAATTAATTTTTTGCACATTGACTGCCATTTTCATTCTCTTAAAAAGCTTTGACTGTACATGATGGATATATTTTATCGAATAATGTGGGTGGATTTATGGACATAACCACTTATGTTCAAATGAACACATGCACAGGATTGTGAAAGGAAAAATAAGGCATACAAATGTCCTTATAAACTGAATAAAGTGTTATATAATTGCACTTTGTGATTTTTTTTTGACCTAGAATGTCTTTACAGTCATTTTTCTATATCATATAAGGGACAGCTCCTAGCCAAGTATTGGCTATACTGCTTGTCACCTCGTGCCAGTGTTACAATCACCTTTTTTGGTACTTTTCATACATGTGATCCAGTACTCAGGTTCATACTTGTTTTTACTGGATATTCGATGGTGTAAATAGCTTAGGGACATAGATTCAGCATCTTTTAACTCCAAAAAAAAAAATTTGCTGCAGGACATATGGAGAACCTGATAAAACATTTTACAACATGTTTGATAATGCACTGATCAAAAAAATTAAAGGAACACTTTAACCACTAGCCTACAAGGCACTTATACCCCCTTTCTGCCCAGGCCAATTTCCAGCTATCAGCGCTGTTGCAATTTGAATGACAATTGCGCGGTCATGTACCCATATGACATTTTTATCATTTTTTTGAGACAGATAGAGCTTTATTTTGGTGGTATTTAATCACCTCTGGGTTTTTTATTTTTTCTTAAACAAACCAAAAACCACTGAAAATTTTGAAATAAAAAGTTTTTTCTTAGTTTTTGTTATAAAATTTTGTAAATAAGTGATTTTTCTCCTTCACTGATGTGCGCTAATGAGGCTGCACTGATGGGCACTGATAGACTTCACTGATGGACACTGATATAGGTGGCACTGATGGGCACTGATGAGGAGGCACTGGTAGGTGGCACTGATGGGCATTGACAGGCATCACTGATGGACACTGAAAGGCAGCACTCATATATGGCACTGATAGGTGGCACTGACTGGCACTGTTAGGTGGCACTGATAGGCAGCACTGGCGGGCACTGATAGGTGGCACTGATGCACACTGATATGTGGCACTGACTGGCACTGATAGGTGGCACTGACTGGCAGCTCAGATGGGCACTGATATGTGGCACTGATGTGGCACTGATGGGCATTGAAATGTGACACTGATGTGGCACTGATGGGCAATGGCAGGTGGCATGGATGAGCACTGAGAGCTGGCACTGATGGACACTGACAGGTGGCGCTGCTGGGGCTACGCAGATCATCAGGGCACACTGATCATCAGTGCTCTGATGATCTGTGTACATGTCCCCTCTGAAGAATGCCGATTACCGGCTCTTCTCTCCCACAAGTTGTCAGTGTGACAGCTCGCGGGGAGAGAAATAAAGATAACTGGCATTTCCCTTTTTACATGTGATCAGCTGTGATTGGATTGGACACAGCTGATCACATGACCGAGCTGACATCTTCGGCTCTTTCTGTGGATTGGTGACCCGCTGTGTCTGGGGGACATAGCACATCGCCGATCGCCGCGCTGCGCGCTCCGGGAGCCGCACATGCACGGTTAGAATGGGAGGACGTCATATGACGTCCTCCCAGAACGAGAGAACCACCTTGCATCCGTCATTTTACTATATGGCAGGCGGGAGGTGGTTAAAAACACATCAGATCTCAATAGGGAAAAAAAAAATCATGCTGGATATCTAGAGTATACTGATGTGGACTGGGTGATGTGTTAGAAACATAAGGATGCCCCATCGTTTGATGGAAATGAAAACTATCAACCTACAGAGGACTGAATTCAAAGACACCCCAAAAATCAAAGTGAAAAAATGATGCAGCAGGCTAGTCCATTTTGCTGAAATTTCATTTCAGCAACTTAAAATGGTACTCAGTAGTTTGTATGGCCCCCACGTGCTTGTATGCATGCCTGACAATGTCAGACATGCTCGTAATGAGATGACGGATGGTGTCCTAGGTTATTTCCTCCCATATCTGGACCAGGGCACTGAGCTTCTGGACAGTCTGAGGTGCAACTTGGCAGCATCAGATGGACCAAAGCATGTTATCCCAGAGGTGTTCTATTGGATTTAGGACAGGCGAGCAGGTGGATGATTCAATGGTATCAATTCCTTCATCCTCCAGGAATTGCCTGCATACTCTCGCCACATGAGGCCGGGCATTTTCGTGCACCAGGAAGAACCCAGGTCCCACTGCACCAGCATAGGGTCTGACAATGGGTCCAAGGATTTCATCCCGATACCTAATGGCAGTCAGGGTGCCGTTGTCTACCCTGTAGAAGTCTGTGTGTCCCTCCATTTATATGCTTCCCCAGACCATCACTAACCCACCACCAAAATAGTCAAGCTGAATGATGTTACAGGCAGCATAACATTCTCCACGGTTTATGCAAACCCTTTCACATCTGTCACATGTGCTCAGGGTGAACCTGCTCTCATCTGTGAAAAGCACAGGACGTCAGTAGCTAACCTGCCAATTCTGGTGTTCAGTGGAAAATGCCACCTGAGCTCTGTGGTGCCAGGCAGTGAAAATAGGGCCCACTAGAGGATGTCGGGCCCTCAAGCCTCCCACATGAAGTCTGTTTCAGAATGTTTGGTCAGAGACATTCACACCAGTGGCCTGAGGTCATTTTGTAGGGCTCTGGCAATGCTCATCCTGTTCCTCCTTGCACAAAGGAGCAGATACCGATCCTGCTGATGGGACCTTCTACGGTTCTGTCCAGCTATCCTAGAGTACCTTCCTGTCTCCTGGAATCTCCTCCATGCTCTTGTGACTGTGCTGGGAGACACAGCAAACCTTCTGAGCCATTAGTGGCCACTGCTGTCAATCACCAGGTCCTGTTGTCAACCGCTGCTGTCAATCACCAGGTAAGTACTCGCCGGCGGCGCCCGGTGATTTCCGAAGATCTCCGACGGGGAGGAGGACTGCTTTCTTTACTAACAGTTCTCCTCCCTGTCAGCTTGGGCACACTGCTCTGGATGGCTGTGCACAGCACAGCCATCCAGAGCAGTGTGATTACAGTGGAGCACACTGACACAGCGCCCCAGTAAAACACTCATTGCACATGTTAACCCCTTCCTGCCCAATACCATTGGTACAGTGTCAGTGATTTTTTTCTAGCACTGATCACTGTATTGGTGTCACTGGGGATGTCAGTGACACCAAGTCAGTTCCCCCCAGTGTCAGAATGTCCGCCGCAGTCCCGCAGTCAAGCTATAAGTCGCTGTTTACCACTATTACTAGTAAAAATAAAAATACGGAAAATACTGCCATTTGTGAATGCTATAACTTTCACGTAAAATATTTGGTAAAACCTGTAATTTCTTCCTTAGGGTTATTATTTTATTTTCACTATTTATTTTCAATATTTGGAGTTGTTCACAAATTTTTTCATCATTTTTGGAGTGTTCACTATTTGATTATATTCAAGTGCATTTATGTATTGAGACATATATTTAAATATTTATATATAATTTTTTTTTTCCCCTCACGTGTGAGTAGAGTGTACACAATATGCAGTCTGCTTGATTCACTACTTGTTCACTTTTTGTGTTTATGCTTAGTTAAAAGGTAATACACTATTATAAGTTTATATTTTTTTGAGGTTCATGAAGAATTTAAAAGAATTTTGGAATTTCTACACCGGATTATGAAAGAGTGATACGATTTTGATTTGGAGGTTGGAAAGACACTTCTTAATAGAAACATTTTTGTACACTTATTTTTGGGACACTTATTTTATTTACTTATTTATTTATTTATATCTTTTTATGTAAGATTGGGATAGTTTTTTTTATTTTGCAAAGAAAAGTTTGGTTATATCTCATGGGGCCCCCTACTGGGCCAGGGCCCTCAGGCAGTGCCCGAGTTCCCAAATGGTCAGTCCGCCCTTGGCCCTGGATAATAAGACCTCCTTCTGGGGCAGGCACTGTCTGCAGTTAGCCTTTTAACATTTTTAGAGAATATCTAAAAGCAAGAAAAAAAAAACCTGATACATTGTAGCTTAACAGTTTTTAGGCTGGCTGAATTGATTTTCTTTTATCAGACTTTTTTTTAACTTTATTTCCATTTGGTGATCCTGCCAGGACACACTTTCTGTCCTCAGGTGACAACGCTTACTCTCTGTACTGTATTTATTAAGGATTAGTGTGAAACCCTAGGACATGGCTACAGAAAATCTCCCCCTCTTCATTATAACATAGGAACATAGGCATTTTGAAGCCTAGGTTGACAATCCTTTCCATGGAAAGGATAGGCAAATAGGCTGTAGTGAAAGTGGCAAGGCTCTCTAGCAAAGCCGCTTGTGATGGGATGCAGATATGCCAAAATACAGTTCCTACCAGGAGCGGACTGACCATTCATGCACTTGGGGACTGCCCGAGGGCCCGGGGTCAGTAGGGGGCCCCATGAGATGTCCCTAGTACCTTTCATAGGCTTTTTTGGGTGTGGTTTGAGTGGTGAGTGGTTGAGACACAGGGGCCCTGTAATCCCTTATTGCCCGAGGCCCCATGAGTTGTCAGTCCGCCCCTGGTTCCTACCTGAGATCCCATAAGCAACAATCAATTCTGATAATCAGAATAAAATGAGAATCCAGAGTCTTGGGGATAGGTGCATCTCTAAACCAAACTGAAACACATTTTATGTTATTTTACATGATTTCTGATTGTTGTGAGTAATGATTAATATGTCTTTTGGTTATGCAGATCACAAAATAACAATTTCTTAAGTTATATGAACAGCAATAAAAGTATTTTCAGAAATATTGGACTTTGTCTCAAATGATATCAGATATTGTTGTTCTGTACTGGCTACTGCTCCAGTAACACATATATCTTCAACACAATAACAACAGCATTTTCTGGATATCATTAATCTTTCCTCGGTATGCACACTGCCACCATCTGCTTTAAGAATCTTTCATTTGAAGTAAATGTTTTATAATAACTTTCCTAAAGTTAGCTTTTATGTTGTTTTTTGCAAAGCAAGGATGACTCAAATTTTATAACTGGAAACATTCAAAATTGGAACTGATAAAAGGTTTCCATATTGTTTTGTGTTCTGGGTTAACATTGCTTTTTTAGTCTATGCAATTTGTATTCTAACCAGTTTGTATAATCTATCTTGCTGTAAGAGTAACTGGGGATACTGGGAGTGTTGCTCAGTAACAATGAACTGGGAAGAGGGAAAAAATGGGTTTTCTAAACCTGAACTCCAGAGAGATATAAGAGACATACATTAAAGCAGTATTAAACCTAAAACCAAAAAAGTAATATATTGCAGCTTACCAATCGTTAGATGTGGTGGCTACATTTGTTTTCTTTTTTTAGGCTTTTTCCCTCTCTTTTCACCTGGTGCTCTGGCCAGTAACATACCTCCTGTACCTCCTACCCCAATCTGTCCAACTGTCTGTCCAACTCTGTCCACTTTTAGGGATCCCTGAAACCCTTCTCTTCAGAGAGGCTCCTGCCCCCCACCTAACAATTGTACTTTTATTTTCCAATTGCCCAGTCGCGTCACTCATTCTCAGTATTCTGTGAATGAGAAAATTACAAGTCCCGGCAGCTTTTGCAGCTATCAGCTTGTAGTTCTCAATGAACTAACATGGCACTGTGGAGTGCTGTTGTAGTTCATTGAGTCTTCCCGTCAGAATGTATCTGCTTGCCCATATGGTGTACAGGCACACAGATACTGTCAGGGATCCCGGCCGCTCAGCATTGCGCGCATGCACAGATCGCCGATTCTTCCTAGCCGGCGAACACACAGATCGCGGCTGCGGCGGCCGCGCATGCGCACTAGGGATCGCGGCCGCACCAATGAGAACACAGGGCGCCCTATTTAAACCTGCCCTGTGCATCTCCAAATTGCCGCAAGGTCTTGTTCCTGTTCCCGTGTTCCTGCTAGTACGTTTCCTTGTTGCCAACCTCTGCCTGTTCTGATTTATGCTGACCCTCTCCTGCTCTTACCCCGGCTCGTTCCTGACTATTCTTTGCCTGTCGTTACTACTATTTGGACCCTCTGTTAAGGAACCCGGCGTGTGACCTGACTACTCTTTTGTCTGCTGCTTGGTACCGCATCTGTCCCGACTGTTACCGACCCGGCTAGTCTGACCACGCTCACTCCTGGCAGTCATCCATCCATCCCGCTCGGACCTGGACCTGTCATCCCCTTTCCAGCAGGCTCATCCCGGGCACATACCCTCAGCGGGACCCTCTACCATAGTTGGGTGCACCCAGGGGTCACAACCTGGTTCCAGTCGTGCATCAAGTCCATCCCGACCATCTGGGGCTCTGGTGAAAAGGCAGACTGGGACTTAGACTCCGCGCCTGGGGAATCCCGTTCTGTGGACCACTAGAGATCCCGTTGGGCAGAGCCTGACAGATACACTGACAGGTCTGCAGGAGACCTGCATGGCACCAGCAATCTTCTGA